TAATCTATTGGTGAGTGCGTAGCCTAATGTGCTCCTAGGAAACAGAGCTAGATAAGAAGGGTGTATGCTTGTCCATTGTTTCACCCTTATTCTTGCTCCATGAGGCTTCTACCTTTCAGTTTCTGCCTTAGAGCCAGGCAACCATGGGCTCAATTCCACTGGAAACCATGAGCCAAATAAACCTCTCATTCAAGTTGCAGGTGTCAGGATTTTTGTCCCAGGGATAGGAAGTTAACTGACAGGCTGATCCACCTGCCCTTCAACACGGTTATAACCCCTTTCTCCCAAGGTCTCAAGGACAAAGGACAGCAGGCAGCCACCCCTGCACAGGGCTCATTCCATCTCCAGCACTGTAAAGAAAAACAAACTTCATTTTACTGCACATGTGCCTATCCAGAAAATATGCAGTGAAGTTTCCAGATTTTCAATAAACACTGTACTACTCTTAGTATCATATGGCAAATTGCTTTGTTCACAGAAAAACAAAGGTAATTCCTCAAACTGACACAAAAACTGTGCATATTTGGGGGTGGTAGGTTTTGTTTTGACACATGTATAAGAAACTCCGCTTTCCTTGTCAATGTTATGCTTCCAGGACTTACTCCTATAGGAACGCATAGCCTACCTAGCCCATTCATCCTAGCTGGTGGTCAGTATTTCCTTGTATCCATATACTGTGCTTCACTAGCTCAGTCCCCCCTTGCTGAATATTTACAGAGCTTCAAGTTGTGCTACCTAAAACACCAGCACGAATACTCCAGGCCTCCAAGAACACATGATCCCAGCACTCCTCCAAGAGAGCAGGCCCCGAGTAAGCACTCTGAAACAGGCCAGCTGGGGCCACATCTTAAGTGTGTGGCTTATGGACTTGGTAACCAAACAGTTCCTTATTTCCGGTTACCTAATGCCTAAAAATGGGGATAAGTAACCTGGTAACTGGGATTCTTACCATTGGAAGGTGGTACTCGGATGTGCGCTGGTTCCTGAGCCAGCTGACAACCTCACCTTTGTCCACCATCATCTTCAGAGACTTCCAGAGAGGAGGAGGTCCCTGTCCTTTCTGCTCAATTCCCACGGGGCAGGGTTTATAGGGTTTCACAGCAGGCAGCAGGCAGCTAGGCCTCAGAAACACTTGTGCAGTGGCTCTCAGCACCTCTCTCTCATTCCCTCGCTATCAGCACCTTCCACACTCCCAGAGCCACACCCCCACACACCAACTGGCCCTGAACTCCCCTGAATTAGAAGCAGCCAGGGAGGCTGTTTTTATAAGGTGGCCATGGGTAGGGGCATGGCTACGTGGGGACCTGATAGAGGAGAGTTACACAGGAGCAAGTCCCCTAGATTGATGGGCAACTGAGGCCTTCTGCAGCACAAATCAGTAGCTCCTCACATCCTGCTAGTGGCAACATGCTTTTATTGAGATAAGTTGAGTAGCCAGGACAATGATTTTTTTAATAGTCCCAATAATATACAGGCAGTTCATGTCCCTGCTTGTCATTCAAGGTTGAATCAAGGTTGGCTTATGGGTTTTCCTGTGACCACAAGGATGTCCTTCCATGGCACACATTGCTGACTTTTAATCTATGGCAGACATTTAATGATTCTCTGGCAGAAAGGATTTTATAATAAATCAGGCTCTCTCTGGAAATCTCTCTCTAGACTCTTACTGGGCAGGCAATTGAGCAGCATAGATTTTTCCTTGTAGCCAGACTCCATACCCCTTAAATATATTCCATTAAGCTCAATGAGCCAAATTAAGCACATGTGGGTAGAAATCCATTTCACCTAGATATTTCCTAGGCCATATGGCTAGAGGCCTATTGCTGCCCTCAGCCTTGGGTTGGAGTGATTTAATGCAAATCAGCTGTGGTGCCTGAGTAACCAGTATAGAAATAGGCATGAGAGAAAAGTTCACTTGAAAGGAGTGTGGCTTGTGGCTGACATGAGCTGTGTGCCCCCTGTGGTAAGAGGTTAAATACCAGGGATCAGTAATCGAATGAGTAAGCAGGAGCAGAAAAATCAAATGCCTTCAGAGGAAAGGCAGGTAAAGTAAATGAGTTCAGAGAGCTGAAGTAAGAATTTAGGGAAGCAGGGTAGGGTAGGGCTGGCTCAGTGTTACAGTGCTTGGCTCACATATATAATGCCTTGGATTCCATCCCCAGTACTGAGAAACAAAGAGAATTTAGGGAAACCAGAAAGTGCATGTCCCACCTAGGATAAAGCTGTTGGAAATATTGCTGATGATAACACAAACAATATTAATATTGTAATAGCTCATGGGGCTGAATATTCACTCCAGGAACCAACCTGACCCTTTGCATGTAGTAACTCATCTTATTCCCAAAACAAGTCAGTGAGGTAGTTTCCATCCCCCTTTTATAAATGAGGAAACCGAGGCACAGAGTTCTTCCATAACTGGCCCAGAGTCACCCAGTTGGAAAATGAGAAAGAACTTCTCTGTGTGTAAGATTCAGAACACATTGCCAATTTTCAACCTCTGGACTAGTTAATCTCTAAAATGTCCCTGAGAATCTAAATTGCTATGGCAAACAGAGTAGACACATAGTAGGTGTTTAGTAAAGGTAGGGCAAATAAATATATTGGAGTCAAATTTTAGATAATAAGTAGCACTTATACTATACATGATTGGTTGGGTCAAAGTCACAGAGCTAAGACATGCTGGAGTTGGTGTTTAATTCTAAGTCTAAACTATGCTAAGGACTACAGCAGGAGATGGCCACTTCTGACCTGGTAGCCAAATTGGGCCCACCTTCTGCTTTTGTAAATAAGGTTTTTTGGGATACACCCATACTCATTTATTTACATATTGACATCCCTTAATAGTCACGGGGATGGGTCCAGGATTCCCAGAGGATACCAAAGTATGTAATATTCAAGCCCCTTATAGAAATGAACTTCTCATTGTTCTCCCTTTGCAATGTTGATCAGCTCTTCATAGCTCCTAACCAATCTGAGCCTTAGAGGCAAAGGTCTATTTGGTTCTGGTTATGGGAAATCCATCTCTGGCTTGCCCTTGGGAACTCAGAGCACCACTGCCTGATGTGGTAGGTGAGTTTCAGCTCAGAGAACCGAGCCATAAGCAGAAAGCTTCCCATTGTAGATATTCAAGAAAAAAGTTAAAGAAGCCTAGTAAGTTAGTCAGCAAATATAAGATTCATAGTTAAAGAACATCACAGGTCTGGGAGATACTGAGTTATGATGATGGTGATGGTGGTGGTGGTGGTGATTGTGGTGGTGATGACGTTGATGATAGTGGTGGTGATGATGGTGATGTGATTAAGCAGACATTCTGCAAATTTTCTTGCCTTCATCATCTCTGAATCCTTCCAACAATCTCATGAGAGACATTACTATTATCTCTAATTTATACAGGAAAAAACTGAGGCTCTGGAAAACAAAGCTACTTACCTAAGATCAGAGCTAGGATCTATTTTGGATTTGAACTCATCTCTGAGCCCTGAATGCATGCTTAGAGCCATTGGGCCAGTGATTCTCTAAGTCTGGATCTTGGACCATCAGAATCACCTCAGGGAGTGGCTTCTTAAAATGCAGAGGCCAGGGCCTCACCCAGTTTCTCTGAATCATTCTCTGAAGAATAGCCTCAGATCTGAATTTTGAACCAAATTCCCTGGATGATTTGGAGGTTTGCTGAGCTTTGAGAATCACTATATTAAAGTCAGACAATAATTCAGTTCTTAAACTGTGCTCCCAGATAGATGTCAAAGGGTCTACTGATAATAAATGAGTGTATGGGGAGTGGGAGTGCAGTTCAATAGTAGAGCATTTATCTACCACGCATAAGTCCCTGTGTTTGATTCCTAGCCCTCCAAGATCATGTACTCACTCAATAAGAGTATTGTTTCTCTCACATTCACTCTCTTTCCCCTCTCTTTTGGGGGAAGTGTATACTTTTCTGCCTTAGTGACTTTGAGCTAGACCTTTTGACTTGCTCTGGATAATGGAACGTAAACAGATGGGATATGATGAACCCTTGAGCCATGTTTGTGTAGCATGGCTTGCCTCTCAGACTTCTGCCATCACCACACACACAGCAGCTGTCCCTTCAGCCTGGGCTCCAGAATCAGACACAGGGAGCAGAATCAAATTGTCCCAAAGCCTGGAGCCAAGTATAACCAACCTACAATGTAAAACAAAAACACTCAAGCCAATTCATACACATGTGAGCATGAAAAATGAATTTCTGTTGTCAGCCACTGGGTTTAGGGATGGCTTGTTATATGGCATAATTGCAGCAGTAGATGACTGACACACCTGAAATTGCACATCCTATATTGTCTTCAATTTGTATATTGTGTGTCCATTTCTGCGGAGAGACAGTAGCCTCATCTTCTTGCAAATTTTCATGGGACCAGAGATCCCCAAAATATTAAGAGGTATATAACTATTTTCAAGTCCTTTCCACTCTCATTGGACCAGACTCAGGTTCGAGGACTTGAGCTGAGTGAGTTTTCCCATCTTCCCCTATTTCTTAGAATGCAAATGTTTAAGTCTTAAACTTCAAAGGGTGCAAACTGCTAAAGGAGTTATGGAAAGGGAGCCTGGGTGATGCTCATAGGACACGTTTTCAATCTTTGGACTCTTAAAATTATCACAAAATACAGAAAGGAAGGAAAGGAAGAATTATTAAAGTACAGGAAGAATTTTATAAGATTTTCTCCTTTTGTACCTTATAACTTAACCAGTTAGCTCTGCAGTTGAAGGAAATTTCTCTCAACCTCTTGAAACAAATACAGTATACGCAACTCAGTCTGTTTTGCCAGAGACATGAAAAATTAAAAATAATATGCCCCAGGCTGAGTTGATTTCTATATAAATAAATATATACAGAATCTATACTCAACACCTCCATTATGAGAATTATGTTAACATGTCACAGGACATGAATTTTTTCAAGACCATTGGGCAATACTTTTATGAATTTGTGGATACACAATTGTTTTTTTGTTTTTGGCCTGCAGGTTGTGAAGGAAGAGCTCCAAAGACCCATTGAGAGGCAGCCAGGACTGGAGGAGGAGAATGTGTGAGGATCTAGCCCGGGATGCATTTTTTTATGTCACTGCTCATACATTTTCCCGAGCTGGAGGCTAAGCAAGCCAATTCGTTCACAACTCATTTTTCTGGGCTGGCCTCCTCTCATGGCTAAGTCTTTCAACACCAACAGGTTCTTCCCAGTCAAGGAGATGCAACTGAACTTGGATTGAGCCCAGCTGGAAAGGTTTCTGATTGCCAAGATGACCTGCTGCTTTCAAGGAGAACAGAATTCAAATGATGATTAATGAAGTGGTAGGGAGGAGAGCGAGAAAGGGCAGATGACACTGCATTCGGCAACAGTGCAGTTGAAAAAGGATTCTTGGGTGGTGTGGGAAGTATTAGGAGAGCTCCAGGCCCCTTCTGTTTCCCAATAGTAGCCATGTTCTCTGTGCTTTTGACTTTGAATGTTTTTATTGTTTGTCACTGAAGCCAGATATTCTGGATTTGGATCCTAGCTTCATGTTTATATGCTGTGCAGTGTTGGGGAAGTTGCTTACCTAGCTGTGCTTTTGCAACATTGTTCCAAAACAAGGACAATAAGCCTCAAAAGTTAAAGGAACCTGGGCCAGGGATGTAGCTCAGCGGCACAGCCTGGTAGAGGTCCTGAGTTCCATCCCTGGTACCAAAAAAAAAAAAAAGTTAAATGAACTAGTGAGATAGGTAGAACAGTGCATTAAGAAGATGGGCTGTGCAGCTTCTGGCTCAGTATAATTTCCAGCTCTAACACTCACTTGTTGTGCAGCCTAGGACAAGTTATTTAACCATTCTGCTTCAGATTTCTCATACATAAAACTAACATGGGGCTGCGGATTTAGCTCATTGGTTCCAGTGCCTGCCTCAGAACCGCAAGGTCCTGAGTTCAATCCCTGGTACCAACAAAACAAAACAAAAAAACAAAAATTAAAGAAGAATTAAGATGTTTAAAGAACAACAACAACAACAACAACAACAAAACTAACATGACAATAGCTCTTATCATGGAGCATGTTCTGATGAATTAATACAGTCAGTGCCACTAGGCTAAACCTAGACCCCAAAGCTTTAATAAGTTGCCCAGGTGATTCTACAAGGAGGGGAAGTAGGGTACTTCTTTGAGTCAACAGCTGTGCATCATCCGATGAGTGATTTCTTTCATCTGAGACTCAGTTTCCACACCTATAAAATGGAGAGTGGCAGAGAAGAGTGTCTAAGCTGTCCCTGTAGAACTCTGGTTTTGTGGGAGTGCTTCGTACCTATGTGCCTTTGCACATCCTGCTCCTTCTGCCCAGAGTGACACCCCAGCCTACCACTTTGGCGTGTCTACTGGCCCTCTGAACCTCAGGCCTTCCCTTCCAGTGAAGGTGATGGCACCTGACTACAGGCTCGTGCTCCTCCTTAGACATCTGCTTTTGGTCACAGGCACCTCTCTGTGCTCCACACATGAAGTGCACAGGGACCCCATCTGTCCACTCTCCTGAAGCACCTTCAGCAAGCCAGTGAGACCTTGTTCAGGTGAGTGAGCCTGACAGACCCATGGGGTAGGAGGTGCACAGAGGGGCTGGGTCCAGTGAACTAGCTTGTCCAGCTCACAGGAGGACACTGCAGAGCCTACTTTACCCTGGCTTGGGGAGGAACAGAGAGCAAGTGGTCAGAAATGCTCAAGGAATAAAGGAAAGGATGGATAGATGTAGGTAGATGAGAGAATTGGTGGATAGATGCATCAGGTACATGTGTATCTATGTATGGATGGATATATGGATGGATGGATGGATAGATGGGTGGGTGGGTGTGTGGGTAGATGAGAAGTGTGTGTGTGTGTGTGTGTATACAGACAGTCCTTAACTGACAATGGTTCAATTTACGATTTTTCACTATTCCAAGAGTGTGAAAATAATATGTAATTCACTAGAAAACATACTTTCATTTCTGAGTTTTCATCTTTTTCTAGGCTAGTGTGATGTGCCCATTGCTGGGCAGAGACAGAGATGAAAAGCCCCCTCCACCATCCCCAGTCAGCCCTAGGATCACAAGAAACAGCCAAACCTGTACAGAGTTGCCAGTAGCTTATTTTTTCTTTTTTTACATAGTCAACACTTTATTATTAAAATAGGCTTTGTGTTAGGTGATTTTGCCAACTGTAGGCTAATAATTATTCTGAGCATGTTTAAAGTAAACCAAGAGGGGCAACCCACTTTCCCATTCCCCCTCTGTCTCTCTTAGACAGAAGTTATCTTTCTCTCAATAAATTTTTCCTACTTTTAACCTTCATTGTTCCTAGAATTCATTCTTTGATTTTAGAGAGCATGAACTCGAGTCTCACATATCTAGTAGGTTTGGGAGTTACATCTCTTCCCCCTATATCATTTTGGAGATCTTCCACTGAGATTAATGGTCCAAGGTAAGTTTTCCTTCATAGGTTCTAAAATAGGTCTTTTTGCTTCATAGATTATAACTTTTCTTTCATAGGCTCTTGACATTTGTTTCATAGATTCTGGTTTTTGTTTCATAAATTCTGGCCTCTGTTTTGGCTTTTGTTTCAAAAGTGTCTTAATTTTAAGTTTTGTGTTCAAATGTTTGCAAATTTCTTGTTTTTATTGTGCATTGTCTTTTGTTACAATTACATTTTATTCTTGTTTTGTATGGGTTGCATTTGGACTTCATTGCTTAAAAATGTTGTAAAGTGGGGTTCTTATAAAATCAGCTCAGATAAAGACATTTCAGGCTTTTCTCTGTCCCTTGTAGAATACCAAACAGTGGTTACTCTGCCAGCCAATAATTGCCTTTAGGGCAGCTGCCACTCTCAAAGCAGAGGACAGGTTTCCCCAGTTGCCCTCTGAGGAATCCCCACTTCCATTGAAGCCAGTGGCAGGTGGAATGTTGACCAGATAGGCAATTGGGTTCTTTTTGGAGACAGATCTCTGATTGTGTGGAACTAGCAGAAACTGAGGTGACAACTGAGGGGTCATAGCCAGGGCTACTCTCTGGTGGCTACCCAAAAGTCCCTTGGAAGAAACTAGCTCCTGACAGCCCATATGGGTAATCAGCAGAAAATCTCCATATTTTGTCCCTACCTGGACTCCTCAGTGAGGTGAAAGGGGAACTCTGTCAGTGATCATCAGAGATCCTCTGTCTCAGAGTGATCTGAAACAATGCTGTCAGATCCCTTTCTTCAACCTCTGTTAAGAGTTGAGCTATAGGGTTGGACAGTTTCTCTATTACTAATAAGAAAGACCTCTAGACAAATGTTAAAAAAACAAAGAAACAAACAAATCTTTGAAAGATTAAAAGCTACCTGAAACTTTTCTCCCCCATATGCATGGTCTTCATCATTTATGTGTGTAGGGAAGAAAAATACCTTTGCTGATAGGTTGTGGACTGTGGAACCTTCACTATGGACTTATAAAAGGCTATAGGATGATTTTTGGATGTTTAACCAGCTTGAGCTTTATTTGCACTTTTTCTCTCTGCTAGTGAGTTTAAAAACTCCCCTTAAACTTTTCTCCAACTTGTTGGGAGTTGATTTGAGAATCCCTTGTAGTCAGACCGCTCCTCCTTCCAGAAAGTCAGACTGGGGCAACTGGCAACAACTCTTTTGTCTGGCACTAGGGAAAATAACAATCAGTAACCTGCATTTGTGTGTTTACATGGTAACTAGAATATGGGCCTATTTTAGCCAGCCTTTCTCTTCATTCATGCGTGCATGGGAAGTTGATAAGTGTGCCTTTACTATGTAGACTGTGGCTGCTAGGAGGACCTAGGAGTTTCAAATACTTAGTGAATTTAAAATGAACCGTAAAGGAGTAGCCTTGCCTTGCTAAAATAAGTTACCTAAAAGACTGGATAGACAACAGAAATTTCTCAGAGCATTCTCTGCCCTAGGGCCCAAGGCAGAATCTCTGATTTACCATCCTTGGAGGTGATCTCTTTTGCAAGAAAAGGGCCCTAATTTGACTGTTGACTTATTTTCCTCTCTCTCTTTCAAGGAACTAGATAGCAGTGGTTTAAAGCTCTTGGTTTGCTAGCAATACTTCCTTCTCTAAACATGATTGTTATGGCTGAAGTCAATTGTAACTTTTGCTTTGAGAGTACCTACTGGAGTAAGGATATGAGTTCCCTGAGGAAGATAAGATCGTGCACTGATAAAGGGTAGATAGTCCAGTCTGGTTTTACTTTCTGGTTCTCTCTCCAGATGGTAGCTACCTACCCCGGAGTGGTATAAACCTTGGGGAAAGCCCTGGGGACACCCTAGGGGGCACAGGAATCAAGCAGAGACTTATAGGACACCATATTTGTTTCTCTTGTTTCAGATTAGGAACTCCACATCTGAACCTCTTACTCCTTTGGAATATATTAAGGAGCAATTTAGTATTTCTCTACACCCATGCATGGTGTGCCTACCTCCTAAAGCCAAGCACATGAGGAAAGTACTATGATGCTATCTCACAATTAGGATTATACTGTAAAAAAGAGAAAATGGTCAAAATCATCTTATGTTGAGATTTTCTTTACATTAAGAATTCTTGCTTGTGTTCAAATGTAAATGTGGGCCATAGAAAAATGAGAGACACCTCACCCTTAAGACATTCAGTACCTCTAAGACTGAGGCTATTCCTTGCCCTTTAGCACCTGAGAACAAAGTTTCCAAGACAACTTTAAACCTTGACCACCAGGTGCTGAGGATGGAGTTTCTAGGCCAGCCAAAATTAAAACCTCAATGAGGCTATATCCATTCTTAGCTAAGTTGTTCAAGTCCCTCAAAGACAACATACCTTGCAGGAAGTAAATGGCAAATATGGGACTACCTGTGTTCATGTGTCCTTTTCTCTCAGTGATTTAAGACAGATCAAATGAGACCTGAGAAAGTTTTCAGGTGACCTTGATATGAACATTGAGAACATATCAGACCTATGGACTAGATTAGAAAGATATAATGTTGCTCTTAAATCAAACATTGATTTCTAATGAGAGACAAGTAGTATTACAAGCTGCTACTACACATAGAGAAAAATATTATCTTAATTTTGAAAGCTCAAAAGAAGGCAACCAGGGCAACAACTGGTTCCTACTGGAACACAAGCACTTCCTGTACAAGGCCCCCACTGGCCTGCCAATCAGCTAGGAGATTAAATAGAAGACATTTTCAGGCATGTATTCTTGAAGGTCTAAGAACCATGAGAACTAAGCCCTTCAGTTATTTTAAATTGTCAACTATTTACCAGGAAAAAGATGCAGACATCCTTAGATGCTCATTTGATAAAAGGAAATACTATAGTTTTTCCCAAGTCAGTCTTTCAATATGTAGATGGTATGCTATTATGTGCCCCCTCAGAAGAGCTTTCTAGCCAAGACATCTGCTCTGCTGAATTTTCTAACAGACAGGGGTTATAATGTTTCTAGATCTAAGGCACAGATTTACAGCCTTGAGGTAAAATATTTAGGCTTTATTATATCTAAAGGAACTCAAAGACTAGGGGAAAAAAGAATTAAACCAATTCTTTCTTTTCCACAGCCCAAGACCCTAAAACAGGTAAGGACATTCCTAGAAATTACAGGCTTTTGTAGTCTTCAGATAGCAGGGTATAGTGAGATTGCATGACCCCTCTATTACCTTATAGAGAAACCCAAAAGACTGATACCCATATTTTAACCTGGGAACCTGGTTTCCAGAATGCATTCCCGAAGTTCAAACAAACACTTCTAAGTGCCTGCCACAGTATACCATTTCAGGTATGTTAATAAAAGGTGAGGCATGGCTTTGGGAGTATGTCTACAAGATCAGGGAGCTGCTCAACAGCCTGTATAGTATTTAAATCATAAAATAGATGTTATAGATTCAGAGTAATTCATTAAAAGTGCAAGGCCTAACAATATAATTAGAACACTTTCATTCTCTTTCAAGAGGCAAAAAGCAGCCATTCAAGTTCTTTGGTTATTGGTTTGATTTTCAGCTTGGCAATGCAGTGGGAGTCAATCATAGCTTTTCTCTCTGGACACATGTTTTGCTAAGGATTGCAGATCCACTCTGGAAAAGTTCCTAATCTTAATTGTTCTTCTACACCTGAGATGGTTAAGATTTAGTTCTTGTGCCATACTTAAAGACACTCTTCTGTCCCTTCTCCGCTGCCCTGCTCCTGAGAAATAACAGTATGTTTCAAGGCACTTTCTTCTTCTGTGGCTGCTGGATTTCCAGACAAAGCTTCCAGAATGGTGTTTCTCCTCCCTGAAATCCTGCCAGAATTAAGCTGACCTTCATTTATCTCTGGGCCATATAGAAAACTGGTCTAGGTTTAATCCTGAAACTCTCTAAAGATAAATGCAAAAGTTTTAGTTCAGATTTGTCTGACTTTCAGCCCTCAGGCAAAAGTAGAGAATAGTAAGAACAGCTAACCTGGCTCTGGCCACTTCCTTGCACATGTAGTCTGCTGTCACTGGCACTGGATGAGATAAATTCTAAGGGGCACCTTAGACTGGGCACAGAACAAGAGAGATAGACAGGGATACCTTCTTTCCCT